TTATCAAACAAAATTAACGAGCCGAACACGAGCTATTCGCGAATAACGAGCCGTTTTGACAGCCCTAACTGGGGTTGGTCTAATGACCTATGGTCATTCCTTATATATATATATAACATACACATGTACATATTCAATTTTTTTTTTGAATTTGATTATCATTTGTACATATGTTTAATGCATGTGATATTTTCTCCAATTATAGGCATGAAAATTCTATTTTAGTTGAATTAACAAAAATCATATATCTTATATTTCTATATTATGTGATTATTTTTGTTCCTAGTTGTGTATTTGGCATTCTTTATTATTATGACATTTACGTACATACAATACAGTTCTTATGAACCATAAATTTCTAAAGCATTGGAAACGGTAAATTAGAGAGTTGTTCAAACTCATTCAAAGAGAAAATATTTGTCATAAGTAAAGAGTTTGAGATCTTTAACTATAACTAAGGATATTTCAAGCCTATTAGTCACCATTAATGCTATTTGGAGTTGCCATCTAGGCATAAAATCAAAAAATCAATATTGAGGAATAAAAATCCATTGAAACTTTTGTAATTTTTCACCAATAGAGTAAATTGGACATGAATTAGGGAGTGATTTCCACACACTAACATTGTAAACTCTGTTCTAATATTGTTATCATTATTGTTTTTAACCAATCCATTACTTAAGGCTCTATAAATCCAAGGAGTCATGCAAAATACATATAAACATTTAGATAAAAGTGGTATATTGAATGAAAAGTAATATAAAGAAAATTGATTTGCATCGGCCAAATTAGTGTTGGTAGGATTTGTATTTCTATTGTAACGTATGCACTCAACAACTATTATCAGAGAATTGCAAGATGGCTCTGATATGTGCATGGAGTCATAGTTGACTATTATTACAACACACTTATGACATCTTATAACACATTATTGCCAGCATCTCTCTCAATTATGGTCAAAATATTGATTAAAATTTCCTTATAGCGTTGTACAAAACATGCGTTATTGCATTATTGGGGATAACTACTGTTTATATAACATGAAAATTGATTTTTAAAAAATTGATTCTAATATATAGTTGGTGTGAGTAGTACTTTAATTAAATTGAACTCTATCTTCTGCATTACAAAATATATACATCATTTCCTTAGCCAAACAAAGTTTCATGTCTAAAATAAACCATAAATGTTCTACCTTATAGTTGAAAGATGCAGGTAAAAAAAAACTCACCTAAATTCCTTAAAAATCATTCATCTGATATCTTTGATGCGGGCTCAACAACCACAAATGTTATCATAAGCAGTCAATTGCTATTATCCAAAGAATTTGTTGAAAGCAACACTTCTAAATATTTGAATTTTGAATGACATACATCAAGACCCTCATGATGTTAGTAACTAACTAGAAAACCATCAATAGACACCATGAAACTAACATAAAATCAATCAAATGTATGGTCATTTTCATTGTAATAAAAAGTGATATGAGAACCCCAATTTCTTTTAAAAGCTTAGTTCTTGGTGCAGGAACCCAATTGTCTAATTTAAAAATATTGTCCAACGTTATCTGTTTTGATTGTCATAGCTTTCATATACAATTGTGATAAACCATAACTAATTTTTAAGCAATATGTCACAATAATTTTTTTATTATATATTGTATTTTATAAGCCACCAAATTAGATGTTGCATATGTCACAAGTTTTATGGATACCTATACACAAATGCAAAGCTTCTAATTTTCAACTTCAAATATCTCACCATCAGCGCACACCAAAGCTCTTAATATCTATGGGCCCATCTAATATAAGAATACTTGGTAGTAACTCTTGTTCTATCACTAACTTTAGTTATATTATTTTCTTATCATTGTTTTGAGGAAAGGGAGTCCGTCCCTAAGAGATCATATAGCTCAGAGAACCTCCGACAAGCCCTCTTTCTCGGTTTGTTCGAGATTAAGTTCAATACATGATTTCTCAGATTGTCTTTCAGGACTTACATCCATCTCTATAAAAAAGCAATGTCTTTACTAAATTTTTTGTACTCGCGAGCGATACGAGATTCTATGTCCAAGAAGTATTCAATAATCATATAAAAGGATTATAAACATCTCAAATTTCACAAAAATAACTCAAGTCAAGAAATGGAATTTTTTGTAATGAACAAATTATCATCTAAAATTAAGATTTACCCACCAATTGTTGTTGGTAACGAGCTGAGGGCTGGACAAAACTGTCCAAAATCTTACATAAACAAATTAGAAATATGCAACAAATGGAGACGGGTTAATGAAGAGTTATTGAGAGACACCTAAGAGTGGCTATTTAAAAGGGATGAGACATTTTATTTTGTTCATAGTGAATATTAGAGTTTAGGTATCAAGGATTTAAATAATAATATTTTTATAGCAATATCAATGTTTAGGCGCTAAGGATGTAGATAGTAATATTTTAGATGTAGTTATATAGATTTCTCTATAAAAATAGAAATAAAATGACGATCCTTTTCAATTATCATGTTTAAATCATTTATATGTACTTATGATTAATTAAACACTTATTTAAATAGATAAGAGTAAATTAAGCCATTTAAGTTTATAATTATCATGATAATTTAAGTGAATATACTTTTAAAAATTGGACTTTTTTCGCCCTTAATATATTCATAAGAAGGAAGCATAATTAGTAGGGAAGCTTCATAATACTCATAAAGAGAAGAAAAAAAAACTAATTATGATGTAATTTAAAAAATTTTAAAATCATGTTAATATCAATATACTCTTTATATTAAATTGATCCCAAAATATTTTTTATTTTGACTAATATTTGATGGTATTTACCCGATCAATTCATGAAAAAATTATTATATCAAGAATGCTGATGCAGTTTTGCATCAATACTTCAATCATGACATGTCAAGTGTACAGACAAACCTACTCATGTATTAAATAAATTTTTTTATTAATATAGGCCTGTTTGTAGCAAGTTTCTTATTAAAGTCCTAATACGAACTGTATCGTATCGACACACTTGATGCAAAAATTGCCGAATTTGGAATCCGAGGGAAGGCTATTATCGTAAAATTATCCTTTTTAAAAGGGAGGGTACACGCGGCGGAAGAGCAGAGCAGGCGAGAGATACAGAATCCCGAGTTCGTGTAAGTTCTCTGCACTCCCATTAGGGCTTTTGCTGTCCCTTCTCAGACCAATCTCGAAGGTGGAGGAGAGAGAATGGCGAGTTACAGGGCGGAGGACGACTATGACTACTTGTTTAAGCTTGTGCTGATCGGTGATTCCGGTGTCGGCAAGTCTAATCTTCTCTCTCGGTTCACGAGGAATGAGTTCAACCTGGAATCCAAATCCACCATCGGTGTGGAGTTCGCCACCAAGAGCTTGAATGTCGACGGCAAGATTATTAAGGCTCAAATTTGGGACACTGCCGGTCAGGAAAGGTCTTTCTCTCCTCTCTACTCTCTCCTCTCTATCTTCTATCGTTCTATTTAGTGGCACCTTGAGTAGATATGCTAACATTTCTAAGATCAGATCTATTCATTTTGTTTTTTGTGTTGGCTGGAGTGGTGTTTGAAAGGAAATTTATGATCCAACTATCTAGTCATTCTTTGTTTGAATTAAACTTATGACTTGAGCTTGGTCTGTCCTCGGTTGCGCCAGCTGTAGATCTGATCTGAAAGTACTAAAATATATCTGTCAATGCATGTGCATTCGTATATGTAATGCATGCTGTTATATATTTATATCTATGTATACATATTTATGTTATTTAAATGTTTGACGTTATCTTATATTGGACTAAAAAGTATTCATAAGATATTTAGAATCATTTGAAAATTGATTGGGGTATTAGGTTGCGTCCAAATCTGGTCAAAACTGATGAACCAGGCTTGGCTTAAATGAAGATAGTATAATCTGCTAGATTTTGGATCAAATGGATTTGATCCAATATTGAGTTGCGGTCGAATGGGCTCATGATTAGGTTGTTCACAGCCAATCTTCAGATTGGCACTATGGATTTCACCTTTGTAATTTAGATCTGATTTTGTTTCTGCTTGTTGTAATTTTTGTTTAAAAGTTTGGTCTTTGAGTTAAGTTAGTTTTAGTTGGTGCCATTGGAGAAATATCTTGTTCTTGATTATTTCTTTCAATTAGTTAGAAAATGTGGAATGGATTCTTGTCTTAACTTGTTATGGTAACTGAATTACTAGATTGGATCTTGATTATTTTTAATCTAGGCTATTTATCTCACCTTGCAGCTTTATTCTAGCTTGTTTTGGTTTTATGGGTTGTTTTAGTGAGTAAATTGTTTACTTACGTGATACTTATTGTGTGCTTAATCTGTAGACAAAATTCTTACGTTGAAAAACCTTTTGTTCATTTCCTTCACAAGCTCATCACACTTGTATTTCTTTTCCATGGGTTGCTTTTACAATGAATTTAAAGTAACCCATTAAGGATCAACTAGAGAAGTTAAGCTTCCATTTGATTTTGCTGTGCTTTTCAAATTACAAGTGTGTGAATTTATAAGAAATATGTATTTTCAAGGGAATTCATCTAGAATGCATCATGTTTGGAGTATTTTAATTAGCTTATCAAATTAAGATAATTTTTGACAAATATAGAAAACAAATACAAAAAACACTTGTAAAGTGGGCACAAGAAATTACATGATAATTTTTGCACAAATATGACAATACAAGAAATTACATGATAATTTTTGCACAAATATGAATTGGAAACTCCTAACAATGGAGTTCCAAAAGGAAGACAAGATAGTGGTGCTTCGCGGTGACCTTAGTTTGTGCAAGGCCTTGGTGACGCACAAGTCCATGGATAGGACAATACATGACACAGGGTTGGATTGTTGATCGAGTTGCATAGCATTGAAGAGACACATAATACTGAGTTGGCAAAGATTCCGAGTTCGATTCAACAACTTTTGCAACAATTTGTAGAAGTTTTCTAGTTGGCACGTAGATTGCTGTCTCGGAGAAAACACAAGCATGCAATAATCGTAAGACCGAGGGTTTCTCCCATCCGCGCGTGCCATTGCTACCCCAGAGTTTCATTTCAACGTTAACATATCTGGTTGATTCATCTTTTTGAAGAGGAGTCGATCAAATTAAGGAGGTGGAGTCTAAGCTTCATGTAAACATAAAAGATCCGTTGACGACGCTTTACGATGATCCAAAAAAATACCATTATCATTCTTTGTGGAAGTTATAGAAGTGCCTTATATGAAAATTTTGGGAATACAATGTGTTTGGCATCAGAAATTGAGACATTGTTGTGGCTTACAAGTGCAGAGTGGATGACTACAATGTCAGAACATTTTAACATGGATTGAGTTAACAGTGTAAAGCATATTCTCAAGTATTTTACAAAAAGAACTATGTCTCACTTCGAGCATTGAGAAATCTCATTTGTATGGTAATACAAATATGCAAATGTTGTATTTGCAAGAATTCAAGGGACATGGTACATCTATGGGTAGGCTCAATTTCTAATGCAGTTGTTGATGCCGTCAAAGGCAATGGATCAGTCCAGGTCCGTTCAGTGGGAGCACTAAAGGTGCTGCAATTAATCAAAGATTGGAAGAAATTGTGCACATCAAGAATATGGTTATACCTATATATTATGTTTTATGCATTGAGCACTTCTGAGGAGAGATGAAGGTATGGAATTTCTCTTGGAGCCTCTTGAGTTAAAAGAAGTGTAATATGAATCTGCAGATGCGAAAGAAGTGCTGATTAAATGAAAAAGATTGCGAGATCATAACGCAATGTGGGAGCTATACGACTTATTCCAACAACAAATTTTTCTCTTCCACCTCGAGGACAAGGTATATATACATATACTGGGTTTAGAAAATGTTAGGCCGACATATAATTAGGGTAATATTTTGGGAGAGATAGCCTACCTCTCTTGTTGTAGGTATTTATCTTTTATGTATTCAAGATTATATCATTTTGATTTAGTACTGACAAAATATAATATATTATTTTTGCTCTAATCCCGGCGGAAACTTATCTTGTTCCTATCAAATTCCACTAAATGCTCAAACTCCATCACTTTTCAAGTAGGTGGTAAAATCCGCTTACTATTGCAAGTCAAACTCCATCACTTTTCAAGTAGGTGGTAAAATCTTCTTAACTCGTATTCTCTTTAACTTGTAATAATGAATTACTTGGGCCCTCTTTGGGATCACTTTCCGTTTTATATTTTTTGTTTGTTTTCTTTTTGTTTTATATTTTAAAAAAATACATTTGGTACTATTATTATTATTTTTTATTTTTAAAAACAAAAAAAATGTTTGGTTATGTATTTTCTACAATAACAAGAACAACCAAGCCTTTATCCCACTAAGTGGGGTCTGGTACATGAATCCGTTTTCTCCATTGTGTCTTATTGAGTGTCAAATTTTCATTGAGATCAGTTTACACACACACCTTTTTTTAAAAATATTTAAACGTAAGGGTCTTTACATACAAATGACATATTTCTTATGTATTTAAATATATGCCACTTAAACTTTTCTTCTTACATTTATGCCATCCTGCTCTTTCTTATCACAAATTCATCTTTTAGCATTCTCAACATTTATCCAGAACATGAACTAAATGTGATGTTTGGCCTGATGGGTGATGAAATATAAAATCAAGAAAGAACAATTTTCATAAAGTTGAAGTTGTTCTAATGGGTGATGAAATATGAAATCAATATCTCAAAGAGCAGGGATATCTTAATGTAGTGTATAGATTTCAGTTTGCTGCCCAAAGCATCAACAGTTTCGACCAATGCAGAGGCTATAGTCGTCGGGATGGAGGCTAGCGTGTCATAGAACGATTGAGCTTGACCTTCATGTGAGACTTGTTGATGACACAAAACGATTGAGCTCGATGAGAAACAAAAAAATGCAAAGCGGCAATGGGAAACCTGGATGTGTCGCCGACCAAAGAAGTTGTGGGGGAGCAGGGCCGAAGGATCACCAAGGGGGAGCTTGGTCGAAGGAGCGAAGAAGGGAAGGTGTTTTTCCTCTTTTAAAACGAGTCCCTTGTGTTTAAAAATGAATATTTGAAACACAAAGAAAAATGACAAATAAGCAAAGTTTTTCTATTTGTTTTCTATTTTTTGTTTTTTTTAAAATGATCCCAAATAACCCCTTATCCTATAAATTTTTATTTCACAGGTTACAAAATCCAACTTTTCAATACAAGAAATGTCTTTTTGAATAGTATTCCATTGTTTTGGTGGTGATTAAGGCTAACTAATCTCTATAAATACAAGATTGAAATACGTAATATGAATTACTTACAAAGCTCTTTTATAGAGATTGCAAGAGAGAGGCCACCAGGAAATCTCTTTTGGAGTTTGATGAACAATTTGATCCTCCTTCAACTTTTCTCAAAATGAAACCAATTAAGCTCTAAAGATAATGGGGTAGATACAAGAGAGGTGTTGAGGCCAAAATAACCTCCACTGGATTTTCAAAGGAGACAAAAAATTCACTGGCGGACCATAATAAAGAGAGTTGTCTTTGATGGTTTGGTCCCATTAAAAGTTGCCATCTGTAATCCGGTTTGGAGAGTATATGTTTTAGATTCGATTTATGTTAACAAAAGCAGGATTGACCTAAAAATAATTGGGCATATTGTATAAAAACGATCTTAATTCATTAGAATTAAATGAAAATATGACACTCAATAGGATGCAATGGAGAAAATGATTCATGTAACTGACCCCACTTAGTAGGATAAAGGCTTGTTGTTCTTGTTGTTGCACAAAGTTCGGTGGACAATTTCATAAACTTGTCAAAGGGTTTGATAGACAATAAGGAAGACATCGGGCTTACTAAACTTCAACAAAGGGACCTGAAATCGTTTATGCTCTTGGATTCAAAGTGGGGATTGCTCTAAATGACTTACTACCACAAGTCAAATTGTCTTAGTCCTCTAATAGATGGGAAACTTTCACAACATAGGGTCTCTTTAACATGATGGCAAGCAAAACACTCATCTTTCACGGGTTAGACAACTTAATTTTCAAAACTAAGAAATATCTTCCTCCAAAATTTTCCTATAATTTGGTGGTGATTAAGGCAACAATTAGTTTAAATAGTCTCTACAAATACAAGATTCAAATGTGTAACTTATTTTGCATATGGAATCCTTTTGTAGATATTTTAAGGGACTACCAAGAAAGATTTTCTAGAATTGGATGAACATTTTGATCCTCTTTCAATTCAACTCAAAATGTTGCAACTAGTTAAGCTCTAAAGTACCATGTTTAATGTAATCATTTAAAGTGGAGAATACGGGATATATATAAGAGAAGTGGTCGATGTGTCAAGCTTGTTAAAGGCTTTAATAGACAACTAAGGAGGCTTCAATAAAGCAATCTAAAAATGCAAAAGATTCTCCAGCATCCGCGCATAATG